CAGAAGGAGCAGAGGCATGAAGAGCCAGCTCTGGCTCTGAGTGACCTTGGAAATACCATTTGCCCCTCAGCCTGAGTTTTCTTCACTGTGAACAGCGTTTGGCCAATGAACACTTGCTCCAAAAGGTTACCTAGGAACCAAAGGTTGCCCACAGGACCAACAAAGTGTGAAAAAGCACTTCCAAAGCACTACCAGCTGGAAACACCCCTTATAGCTGTCACCACGTCTCATCTGCCTCATGGAAGAGGGCGCTGAGCCCAAACAGCAGCAGCAAAACACTGGTCAGCAGGTCTGGAGCCGGACGACAAGCCAGGCCTGTACCAAGCATGTGACATATTCGTGAAAGAATGGTGGCCTGAGGCTCTGGGACTGGTCCAAGGGCAGAAGGTTCCCTCTAGCTGTGGCCTAGAATGAAGCCAGGAAGCATGAAAGGTGCTCGGGTGAGGGAAGGGTACTAACAAATGGGCCAGATCTCGCCCTGGCTGCAGCCCTACCCAGCCCCCACCCCTCATGCCCTGGGAGTAGAGTTTGACCACCTGAGCCACCCCAGGAAGGTCTTGTCCAGGCACAGAAATAACCCAGCATTTGCTGCCTACTCTGATACACCTTCGCTGTCACCCCACTGCCCCTGCAGCAGGACGCAGGGAGGCAGCACCGTGACTCAGGTCTCCGTAGCTGACCGACACGGTGACCCACCCACCCTGCAGCCACCACGCAACTCCCAGCACCGCCAGTCTCTACTTCCCTGCAGCGAGACCAGCCCTGCCTTCCAGTGGCCTCCCTCACCACCACCCCATCCGGGCGGGCGGGGATCACTGGAAACGCCTTCCAATAACGTGTGGGGACCTCCGTCGGCCGGAGTTGGTTTGGTCTCCCCAGACACTGCCGCCTGATTTCCACTCCACGCCTCAGAAAAGAGAAACTGAGGCAGGGCAAGGCGGTGGGACCCCGCCCCTCTCCCTGCCCCGCGCCTCCAGAGCCTCGCGTCCCTGAGCCCGGGCCCGCCCCGCGGGGAGCGGAGTCCACCGGCCCGGGCAGCCAGCCGCGCACTCACCGCCTCCGCTGCCGCCGACTTCCGGGTGCCGCGCCCGCGCGCCGCCGCCACCGCCCAGGTCCCGCCCCTGACGCCGTCTTCCAGCTCCCTATTGGTCTTCCTGATGAGGGGCGGGCACATCCCTTTAACCTGGGGTACGGTTGGCTACTTCTGCTGTCGCTCGGGGGCTGCAGCCCTCCCGGGGCCCCGCCCCCCAGTCTGCGCCAAGACTCGGGGTTGAGCTGGCGTCTGCGGTCCTGTGACCCCTGCGGCCGTCCCAGCTTTCTCTCCATCCTGGCCCTGGGGACGCCCGCGGGAGGTCGCAGCCGCCCCGGAGCTCATGCTTATGAGGACCCGTCAGGGCCGCGGCCTGAGGTCCTGACGCCTCTCGGTCACCTAACCACCTGGAGGCCCTCACTGGAACTACTAAAAGGGTGCTCACTTCCGGACCCGCCCCTTAGGTTTTTGTCCTTGTCTCCTCGAGACTATCCAATCTGGGCCTCTGGACTTGGCCACCCACTCCGCTGCAAGCCTGATACCCTGACCATCCCCGCCATGTTCAGCACAGACCCTGTACCAGGCATTCCAGCCCCATCCGGCCACCGTAGCCTTTGAGCCCACCTGGAGGCTGTTCTGCAGGTCCAGGTCCCAAGGATGGAGGGCTGGCCCAGCCTGATATATACTAATGAGCAAGAGGCCCTGAAAAGGCACTGGTGGAGGCCTTCTCAGCTGGACAGAGGAGGCATTCACTGGGCTTTCTGCCCCTACTGTCTGGGGCCTGAGTGTAGGGCAAGTAGAGAATCAGAGGCTCATGGCGGCTTGCTCCAAAGTGGGCATTATGCAAACTATGACAAGAATGACAATTATATTAAGGATAATAACAATGTGCTAAGCACTCTAAATGCAGTGTTTCAGTACACAAATATCATTCATCCCATTTTACAGGTACAGACACCAGGACTCAGAGCAATTACAAGCCTTGCTTGAAGTAAAAAAAAAAAAAAAAAAAAAGTGGCAAGTGGAGCCCTGTCTGGTATGGCTCAGTGGACTGAGTTTCGGTCTGCAAACCAAAAGGTCTCCAGTTCAATCTCCAGCAGGGCACATGCCTGGGGTTGCAGGCCAGGCCCCCGGTTCATGCAGGAGGCAACCGGTTGATGTATCTCTCACACATTGATGTTCCTCTCCCTCTCTTTCTCCTTTCCTTCTTCTCTCTCCAAAAATAAATAAAAAATTTTTAAAAAGCATCAAGTGGCAGTGGCTAGATTATCTCCACAGCCTGGCGTTGAAGACCTAGGCACCTTGATCCTGACTCAGTGTGCTGAAGCCCTGAGGAAAACTGGAGCTCAGGGGACGGGCCTGGCTCATAATCAGTAAAGGCAAGAGTCAAACCCAAAGCTGCATGACATCCCCAAAGGCCCACTGCACACCACTCTTTCACAGTCTCATCTGTGTTCCTCCTGGAACCCAACAGAAGCATTTTGTAGGCATGGGGACAGAGGGCTTCAGATGCCAAAGGACTCATGGCCAGCAGGTGGCAGACCAGCAAGACACACAGTCTCCCTTGCTGTTCTGTTACCACTGACTCCACTCTGGATGACATTTGGTGCTAGGGAGCAAGCATGACCAATGAGATGGGTTGAGGTGGGCATCTGAGCCCTGGGGTCTCAAGGCTGCAAGGGGCTCACTGACATCCCATATCCTTAGACAGGGAGCTCACTCCCTTATGTGGCCATGCCTTTGGTCTCTGAATATCTGCAAGTGTTGTAAAGTTCTTCCTGACATCCAGCTGAAGCCTTTTCCTCCATGTAGCTTTCCTTACATGCTCCAAGGATATCTCTACAGACCTGACCAGTGGCTGAGTAGAGAGAGTGGGAGATGAGGAGACTGGGTACTGGATCCTGTGGCACTGAGCGAGTGGTGGAGACCATGTCTCTTGCTCTCTGACTTTCTGACCCCCACCTGCAGCCTGGATCATGGTGGGCCCACTGCCAGACAGTGGCAGAGTCCTCTTAGAAATGTCATTGCCCATCCTGATCCTCTGTAGGTGCTGGTGATCCAGCTCAGGGGCAGACGGGTGTCTGGAACCCTGTCAGGAATTAGGAGGGAGAGAGGCAACTGTGGGGCTGATTTAGGTGCACAATCTCAGCAGAGGTTGTCAAGCCCCTTTTGCCACTGTTAGCAAGTGTGTGTGGGAGGAGTGATGCTAGACCACAAGGTCACTGTAAGAGGAGGGGACCCAGGGGGACCAGGGTCCAATGCCTTTGGTGAGATCCTTAGTGAATGTTGAGCTAATTAAATCCACTCCTAAGTGTAGGAAAGAGAACCCCCAGTCTATGTGGCAGCTGGCCAGAGTGTCACTGGTAGTGTGGTTCCATGGGACGAGAGCTATCTTGCTACATGGGGCCTTTGTGTTCCAGCGAAGGACACTTCATTCTGCCTGCCCAGAGCTTTGAGCAATATCCCTATACCAGGGTGCCAAATGGCCATGACCTCATGTGCCAAGCCCAGCTGATTGATGGTGGCTGCTTGACTCTGAAAGGCTGCTGGGATCAATTTGCTTCATATACCAAGGCACACGGGGACCCAGCGGTGGTACCAGTGGTGAGTTCTAACCCCAAGTCATTTCTGTTTCTTTGTTCTGATCAAGAAACTATTGGGTGAACACTCTGGCCCCTGACACGGGTAGACAAGACATGAATGTCTGGTCCCCCCAGTAGCAGTGTTGTAAGCAGTGTGGCTCCCTGGATGGCTGTGGGGAATATGGTGAGCTGAGGATTTGGTAATCTCCAGGTGGAACCAGGAGAGGAAAAGCTTAGAACCAAGAATGAAACAAGATAAGTGGTCAAGGGGCCATTTCAGGAACTCCCTGAAATCATCGCCAATGGGCAGCATCCCCTCTGGTGCCCCCGACACCACAGAGTTAAGTGGAGTTGGCCTAGGATTATAGTTCTACTCATGGTCACATGTGTGCTGTGTGTCATTGCAGGGACTGAGTGGCTGCTCTCCACTTGGCAGGGGAAATACAACCTTTGCTGAACTCAATTTGGGGGCCTGAACCCCATGATCTTCCTCTGTGACCCTGGGGAAGGCTGAAGGAAATGGGACACCAGGAAGGTGGGGTGATAAAGGCACAGACCCTTCCTCTCCAGGCCCAGATCTATGACGGTGGGATGAGGAATGTGAGGGAGGGTGGTCCTGTGGGGCCCTGCAGGGTGGGCTGAGCCCAGGGTGCCTGCAGATTCAGGCCTGATGGTGGATGAAAACTCTTTGTTCACTGAGGGGTCCCTTTCTGCTTTGGAAACCCTGCACGCCTTCACCCACGACAGCCTCTCTGAGCCAAGACCTCACCCTGCCTCTGCGGTGGGAACCCTGCCGAGATGAGGGTCGGGGAGTCCAAGCCCAGGTATCAGATGGATTGGGTTTGAGTCCCAGTGAACTAAAGCACGTGAAACCCTCTCTGATACTCAGTTTCCCATCTGCAAACTGGGATGGCAGCAGAACTTGCCCTCGCGATTTGTGTGAGGAATACAATTCAATGTGGAAAGGAGGACGATGCGCGCAGTGCCTGGCGAACAGCAAGTGCTAGTGAAGGATACCGGCGAAGTGGCGGGTGGTGATGGGGACCACGCGGCCGGAGTCCGTAGAAGGGGTGTTAGTTCTCTAGCCCCCGCCGGGGACTGGACGGTTCAGGGAAGGCGGGCGGGAGGGAGCAGGCCCGCGTCCCCGGCCGCCGCCGCAGCAGCGGTCCAGGCAGGTGCCGGGCCTCCGCCGCTGTACAAGGGGGCCGGTGTCGGTAGAGACAGACATCCAGATGGCCCAATGGCAAGCCGGTGTCTCCCCAAGCCCGGCCAATCGACACCGGTTGCCGGGCCGCGCCGGGTCTCTCGACCAATGGGAAAATTTAAGGGTGGCTGGGGCGGGACGGAGAGCCGAGTCGCCGGCCAGGTCCGCTTTGCGCACGGGCCACTGGAGGGGCGCGAGGGCTGGCCCCGGAGCTGCGCGCTGGGCCCAGGAGGGTGAGCCCTTGCACGGGTCTAACCTAGGGCCCTGCGAACGGCCACCTGCAGCTCGCCCTGAGGTTGCCGCATCTTGAGCGCTCAGGGATCTGGGGACACCCGTCTGGGGGCGGGGGCCGCGCTGCGGAGCCGCCCACGCCGCGCTCCAGGTAGGCTGGGGCCGGAGGGCGGGGCCGCAGGGAACCTGGGGTTGGAGCTGTAGGTGTGAGCCTGGCGGGGGCCGGGTCGGGGCGGTGTCTTTGGCTTGGAGTCTGGGCGGGGTCGGGGCTGAGTGTTGGAACCGAGAGCTACCCCAGCCGCACCTCCTCCGCGCCGCGGAGCGCTAGACCCTCGACTGGCGGGCCTTTTGTGCATGGCCTCTGGGCCCCGCTCGACTGGCCTGGGCTTCTGCACCGCGCGACGACGGGCGCCTTGTAGCCAGGGCTGCGCAACCACGGAAACTTTCCAACCGCCGGAGGTGCGGTGGGGTCGGGGAACTTTCCTGGGGCGTTGCGCCTCCGGGAAAGGCCGGGCACGGTGGAGCCAAGGATCTGTCTCCGCGCCCTGTGGCTTCCGCCGCCTAGAGGACAAGGGAGGAGGGGACGCTGCCCCGAGTCCCCGCGCGGTGCCCCGACCTGGGGTCCCCACCTCTCACCACTACTCCCGCTCCGCTGCCTCAGTGGGACACAGAGCCCCTAACGGAACAGCGTCCTCCCCACTCAGAATGCTACTCAGTCGGGTTCACTTGAGGTGTCACCATAGGCGGGCAGCCTGGGATCCCCAACCTTCCTTTACTCACTAAATAATTAAATGTTGGGTACTTAAAACAAGTCACCGTTTCTAACCTATGCAGAGTGTATCGCTCCGGTTTCCATTCACTTTAGATCCAGACGTGTTTAGAAACAAGGTTAAGTGAATAACCCGCCCAATGGGGTTTGATCCTTTAAGATAGATTCTTAGTATAACCTCAAACGGTTAACCCTTGTTCGTGCCCCTTCTCATTGTCACCCATGTCACTATGCGGGGCACACACCAGGTCAGGATTTAAAAACTCAGGTGTTGAAGGGATGCGCAGCCTAGTACCTGTGCAGGCAACCTGCCTGATAAGGACAGCACCAGGAGCATGCTGGGAGCCATCCACTCTTTCTGCCTCCATTCCCAGATCCAGGCTGCCAGTCTGCCTGTCCTGTGCTCGGTTTGTCTCTGGGACAGTGATGGACACAGGGACAGTCAAAGCCCTCTGCCCAGTATGCTGGGCCCATGGCCAGTCAGTTTCCCAGCAGGTGGTCCAAGCCTCAGGTTTGGCCACGGTGTGTGGCCATGAATCCAGAAGGTGTGCTTTCTCCCAGCCTTGATGTATCCCATCCACTGTCCCCTGTCATCCCCGCAAGTCTGGTCTGCCAGAGTCTAGCACAGAGCTGGGCACAGAGCACTCTCTGTGCTTAGGATGCTGGTTCTGGCCTGATGAGGAGGGTCACGTGAGTACAGCCAAGCCAGACCCACCCTACTCTTTCTCATTGGCTTTTCTCTTGGACACCAGTTTCTGATGACCAAGCCCCTCCACGATGAACTGGGTCCAGCCCCCAGCCCTCAGTCCTACTAAATTAGAGCTGCCCCCACCTCCTGGCACATCTGGACTGCATAGTACCCCTTCCACAGGTCACCCTTCAGGTCTTCCTAGTCCAGGGTCCCTTTGCATCTATCTTCATTCCTGTTCAATTTTTGTTGCATAAAAATTTATGGTGGGTTCACTGTGCCTCCTTTACCCCAAGAGACAGGCTTGGGGGGCATGAACAGCAGGATCCTTTGCCTCCAGGAGGAGCCAGGAACTGAAGCACAGCTTTGGCAGTGGGGGCAGGCAAGGACACCAGGCATGCCAGAGCATCTACCCTTGGCCAGGACTCAGCAGAGAGAGAGAGGGGGCAGAGCTGGGGTGGAGGACCAGGGAAGGAAGGTGGGGGCCCTGGGGACAAGCTCTGTGGAATGCAGGGGTGGGGTTGGAAGGGCACAGGGAGCTCTGGGAACTTCCTTGCTGGTGGCTCAAATGGGGAGAAGTCATCTGTTCTTTTGCTGCCAGCTTCCATCAAGATTAGGATGAAGTCTTGTGCCCATTCTGTAGGAACCCCTGAATTAAAGAGTAACCCGAGTCGGGACACGGGGTCAGGAATCCTTTCATGGGCCTTCCCCACTGGAAGGGCTGTACATCTTGACCTATTTCACAGGTCAGAAGATGAACCCAGAGCTGGTGGACAATTGCATCACCTATATGGTTTCCCACTTGCCCTCCCCCCACCTTGGGTCAGGCATAGGCCTTCCCACTGCTCCGCTGGACCCTGAGGGTCCAGCAGCCTCTCCATCAAAGCTGCAGCAAGCTGAGTGAGGCCACCAGGAGGCATGAGGGCAGGCAAGACTGGCTCCACCCAGGACCCTCCCTGAGGCACCCGGCAGGGAAGCCAGAGTTCTGCTTTCCCCAGGCTGCCCGCTCTGGGTGCATGGTTGGAGAGGAGCAAGGATCCCCGGAACAAGGCCCCTTGGCACCCCCAGAGCCCCTCGACACCTTTGGTGCATGCAGGGGAGACCCGAGCTCTGGATGGCAGGGTAGTTGAGCACAGGCTCGGGCAAACACAGCAAAGGCCGGACCCTGCACCTGCAGTCTTAGAGTGAGGGCTCCTCAGCTGCATGCCCCAGGCGCCCTCCCTGCTTCCATAGGCCGGACTTGCCATCACCAGGGGGTCCAGGCAAGGACTCCAAAGGAGCCACTCAGGGAGGGGCTGTGCCTCTCTCTGCCGCAGTATCCTCATCTGTAAAGCAGAAAGGTATGGCCAAAGTGGGCGCCTTTTCACCGGGCACCAAGTTATCAGAATGGCCAGCGGCTTGGAAGAGTTCATCAGGATTCTCCACGGTGCAGCAGGACTCGAGGCCCTGGTGCAAAGCAAGCTCTCAGGCAAGCCTGCTGGACCCTCACCTGAGCTCCTCACCACCCAGCATGGCCCCAGCCACCTGCCCAGCCCTCCCAGTCCTGGCCCCATTGCTCCTCTGGACTCCGTTTGTGCCTTTCTGCCTCTTGTTGTCAGTATCTGTGGGTCCATAGCTTGCTTTTCTGGCCTCATGCCTGGCCCTTGCAGGCTGGGCTGGGCTTCTGCCTCAGTCAAAGGTACCGCAGGCCTTTCCAAGGCCGGGGGTGGGTATGGTGACTCCTTTGACCCCAAGGTTCTTGGCACAGGGTCGTTGGCTTGGCAGGTGACCCTAGAACATGCAGTCCAGCCCTGAAGAGGTGATGAGAAGGACTCCCCACGACAGGTACCCCCTGCTGTCTCATCACAAATCCCATCACTGGTTCTACCTTCATATCTCGTGTTTGTCCATCTCTCCACTGCCCTAGGGCTCCTGTTAGGCTCTGCCCTGCCCTGACTGATATAGCACTGCTGTGACAAGGATGCCCTGGGGATGGAGACCCACGCCTCCTCCATACCCTCCCATTACCTCTGCTTCCACCCTCCGCCTCTTGGAAGCCCATCCTTGGACCCCCTCCCCTGCGCAGCCCTGCGGACACCCCCACGCCCACACTAGTTTCTACTGCCAGCCCTCTGCATTTGTGGAGCTCTTGGTCTAGCAGGAGCCCCACAAAGAGGGAGCACATTCTTTTTGTGACCGCATATCGCTGGCTCTGTGGGTGAGGTAGGGGAGTCCTAGGAGCAAGGAGGCCTGAGTTCAAATCCTGGCCCAGTGCTGCCTCTCCTGGACCCAGTTTCCCCATCTGTAAAATGAGGTATCGGGCCAACACAAGGCGTTGAGTGAGAGTCTATGTGCTGATGGTGCACAGCCAGCACTTCAAGAGGAGCCTTATTAGGCCAGAGCTGGGGAGAGGCTGGTGGTTATCAGGACTGATTAAAAAAAAAAAAAAGGCACACAGTTCTCTGGGGCAAGATCTATGTGAACATTTAAGACAAAAACCAGGGTATCCCGGAAATATCACATTCTGAGCAAAAGCTGACCCCTGACCCTCAGACCACGGGGCAGGAGCAGCAGCGCCTGGGCTGTGGGCAGGAGGGCGTCAGTGGGCAGCTGGACCCCTGTCCACGCCTCCCCTCCCGGCACACATGCTCGTGCACGCACATACATCTGCACACATGCCCAGCTTGAGTTCCCGCCCTTGCCTGCCTCTGGCCCCAGTGCCCTGACTCCAACCCCACCATCCCCGCAACAAGCTCTTCCCCTTGATGAAGGGGCTGTGACGAGGTCCACAAAGGAAGATCGGATAGAGGCCGGAACAATCTAGAAAACACCATAGAGCCAAGGGAGAGAGCTTCCATCACCCATGTTCCCCAAGAGATGGCCTCCCAGCTGGGGCCCAGACCCTCCCTACCTGTCTGTGCCACCCTGGTTTTCCTTGTCATGACCCAAAACACTCCGGCAACATCCTCAGGCTCAATATGAGAGGAAACGTGTCCCTCAGGTTGTTGGCCAAGACAGGAGGCCACGTGGGTCCTCCGTTCCCACTTTCGCGGGCATGTGAAGGGCACTTGGCCATAGCTTTGGCCTCTGGGGCCCATGGACTGGGGAGCTGGGCTGGCCTCAGGGAGCATCAGAGAAAGGCAGGTGGCCTGCCCCACAGGTGGGGGAACAGGGCAGGAAGAAGATACCCCTAGCAGGTTGTGACACCCTAGGTGGGCCTGTTGGACACTGGTGTGGGAGTTCTCCTTGCTGGGTCATTTATCACAACCAAGCACACTCAGCCTTCGGAACCTCAGCAGGTGTTATCATCAGCCCGCAACTCAGCAGTCACGCTTTAAAAAAAAACAAAAAACTTTATTTTTAGAAAGAGGGGAAGGGAGGGAGAAAGAGAGAGAAACATTAGTCAGTTGCCTCTCATACACACCCCCGGACTGAACCCACAATCTAGGCATGTACCCTGACCAGGAATTGAACCAGCAACCTTTACACTTTGCAAGACGATGCCCAGCCAACTGAGCCACACCAGTCAGGGATCAACAATCGCACTTTTGAAGGATAATCAATAGCATTAGAAACACAAGGGACCATAGTATTCTGATCCGAACTGCAGATGTGATGGTCCCAGTTGCATGGGTACAAGAGTGCCCACAACTGTGTCAGAAGCACCACATCCCTGGGGGTCAGGGATGACAGTGCCCAGCCAGGAGTCTGGCCACATTCAAAAGAGACAGCCTGGCAGCTGAGCCTCACGCAGTGCCCTCTGGTTTCCCTGCAGGAGCTGGAGTCAGCAGGATGGGTATTGGGACATGCTGATCTCCCCTTGAAACAGGTAGGTGACCCAGGCTTGGCTGGGGACATCTCCTCACACAGGACAGCAGAATGTCCTGGTGGGCTGGGCTAGTGTGGTCAGCACAGGGATGGACCATGGTTCTGGGTGGTGTGTGCTTCTGATCAGACTCTCGCTGGGCGGGCACAGCACCGTGGGCTGGACAGGGCTGGACATGGCTGGACATAGGGACCTCCTGCCACCCCTGCTTGGATTTAGTGATGGTCTGAGTGTAGAGAGCAGCTACCATTAGACATCTGGCTTAACGGACGCGACTGCAGTGGGGCCAACCCACGGGGACGTTAGCTGGGCTGCTCTCCACGCACTTTGACTTGGACGTCTGCCACAGCAGTGTCTGCCATTGGCACAGCCCACCCAGCTCGGGCCTTAGCTCAGGGTGGTCCCTGCTGCCAGGGGAGACTAAAGCCACCAGTTGGGGACAGGCAACGGGCCCACACGACAGGGCACTGGGAGGAGGGTGCCGAGGCCACGCCGCAGGCTTTGTCAGAGCCAGAAAGTAAGTGTTCCAGCTCTGCCGGCTGTGAGGTCTAACGCCCACAGTCACACTGGCCTGCCGTTGCAGAGTGAAAGCAGCCATGGGTGACAAGTCGCTGAGTACCCTGACTGCCCTGCTCACAGCCGGGATGCCACGCGCTTGTCCATGGCCTTAAGCGCTTTCCGTATTGTGGGTTCCTCTGTTAATCACAGCTCTCGTGGGACTGGGACGTGGTGCCAGGAAGTGTAGCAGGAGGCAGAGGGGTCCCTGTCTCCCCAAGGACCCTCTGAATGGTGCAAGGGTGTGCCCTGCTGATGCCCCAGTCTGTCAGAGCTTGCTGTGGTGGTGGCATTTACAGAACGGTGATGGCTTATCAGAATGCCCCCAGTCGCTCTTGTCCTCGCAGTGCAGGCTCCCAGTCCTTAGCCCATCGACCCGCCCCCGCCCTTGCCCCAGTGGGTGCTGTCTCCGTGGGAGGCGCAGACGACCAGCTCTGTGGATCCTCAGTGTCACTGAGTGTCCAGGGCGGAGGGCCTGGCCCAGTGAGTATTCAGGTGGTGGGAGAAAGCAGTAACCTCAGGCTCAGGGGCCCTTAGGCCTCCCGATGCCTGAGTGTCCTGGGCTGAGGGCTGTATGACAGAGGAGAGGCACGGGGGACCCCACTCTTTTCTTGTCTGTTCCCCAGGACCTCAACTGTGGGAAGCTGTCAGCTGGGCTGGCGGGAGCAGGGAGCTACTACCACCCGGCTGTGTGGGAGGACTAAGGTCCAGCCATGCACCTCTGTGGCCAGGCTGGTGGGCCATGCGGGGGCTCTGCATTGGGTTAAAGAAGCTCAGGCTGCATCCAGGGCTCAGGACGTGGCATTTCTTATGGCACAGGTGACATGGCATCTGGGAGCGAGGGTGGCAGGTGGCTTACCCCCAGCCCTCTTAACTCCTGGTAGGCCACCGTGCCTCAGGTTGGCAGGCCACCAGACATGGGATGACTGCTCTGATCACTGGGCCTGCAGGAGGCTGCCCGCCACTCTCGTCTGTTATCGCTGTCCTTGGTTGCACTTTCCCTGTCCCCATCTTTCCTATCTCCCGCTCCTGGTTTCCCGCTGTTTCTCTCAGGCCTTCTCTGTGCAGCTCTGCCTCTCCCTGTCTCCTGTCTCCTGTCTCCTGGTCCTGCCCTGCCCTTCTTGAGTGTGGTGATTGACTGTTTTTGTCTGTCATGATAACTGACTATTCATAAGCACCAGAAGGATGGGCAGTAGTTTTTGTGTCATCTTCGCTCTGGGCTGGGACAGTTTCAAAGACTGGGAAGCAGAACGTGGGCCCTGGGGTAATGCCCTGCCCACATCAGAGGAGGATGAGGAGGGGTCCTTGGGATTAAGTTGGGGTGGGGGCTGATGGCAAGCACCCATGTGTCCCCCATCCTTACCTTCAGCCATTTAGCACCTGCTCGCTGAGCTTCATGTTGGACACTGGGCATTGGGACCACATCAGATCCCTCCCTACCCTGGGGGAGCCCCCAGCCTGGCTGAGGACACAGCAATGGACTGGAGAAAGGAAAGGCCAACTCTGGAGTTGCAAGACGATGAGGTGTGCCAAGAAAGGGGAGCTGCCCCCAACCAGTGTAGCTCAGTTGGTTGGGCCTCGTACCGCAAAGCGAAAGGTTGCCGGTTTGATTTCTGGTCGGGGCACATGCCTGGGTTGCAGGCTCCGTCCCAAGTTGGGGTATGTATAAGAGGCAACCAATTGAAGCTTCTCTCTCATATCGATGTTTTTCTCCCTTTCCTTCGCACCTGAGCAAGGCTGCGCTGCTGTGGACACCGGCCCCTAGCCGGGGTTTCTTGGGGTTTTGACATGTTTCTTAGCCATTGGTATGAGTCTTTACATATTCAAGCATGAATTCTTCCCTTGTCTGTCTGCCTGCTGCATGTTTTTTGCAATCTTTTAATTTTTGTTTGTGATGGTTTACATGGTTCAGAAATTTTTCATATTTTGTGGTGAAACCTGTTGAATTTTTTCCTCGTTTGCTTATTCCATTGTTCTATGTATTGTCCTCCCTAGCATGTAGTCAGATAAATCCACATTGATCTTTTCCTGTAGGTATTTCTAGTTTAGTGTTTACACTCAAGATTTCATTCATCTAGAATTTATTTTAACATAAATGTGAGGTATCTGAGCTGTTGCTTTCTTTCTTCTTCTTCTTTTTTATTCTGAGAGTATGTTTATCAAAGCTGGGGCAGTGAAACAAGGAAGGGCTTAGGACAGAGGAAGCAACAGGAGAGAGCCCAGGTGCGGCTCTGCTTTGACTCCCTAGAAACATTATGGGAAAGAGGTGAGCCAAGGGGGTACTGCTCTGAGCCCCCTGGAGAGTCACAAGATAGGGGCCTTGGGGACAGGGTCAGGAGTTAGCCCAGGACGAGCTGCCGCTGCCCATTGCTCCCCAGGTTGCAAGTCTCAGTAGAGTTTTCGGAGATGCGCGCCTATGGGGGAAGAAGAGGGGAAAGAAAAGGCGCGGACATGCCCCTGGGAGGGGGAGCATGCTGAACTGTTCCTTGACTAATATTTTCTGTCACCATAAATTGGAAATATTGCATAATGTGTCCTCGGGTTTGTGGTGCCCCCGGCAGGCACCTGGCCCTTGGCCAGCACCCACTAGGAAGATCAGATCGGAACCTCCCATGATCAGCCTTTGTTCTCAGGAGGCAGTCTTTCTGCATGGAGACTCTACAGGGACATGCTGAGTCCGCCCTGTTGGGTCCTCCTCCCTCTGTGGACTGACCTCAGGCTCTTACTCTCTGGAGCGCTTTGGCCCTCCCTGCACGGGTGGGTGTCATGCGCTGGCCCATGCACATCCTGCTCTGTTTTCTCTGTGTTTCGGGCTCGCAGCCCCTCTGAGCACCCATCATGACTGCGAACAGGCCCCCGCCACTGTGGGGGCCCCCTCAGAAGCCCCAGAGGTGACCGGGTCCCTTTGTAGACATCCAGGCTCTGACTGCTGTGTACTGCTACCTATGGCCAGGGACAGCCCCGAACCACCTGCAGTGAGGAGCATGGCTCTCCTGGTGACAGTGTTCATGGGCTCTCACATGCGGTGTCCTTTGCCTATGCGGCTTTGTTGTGCGGTGGGGAGTAAACTGGCCTCTTCCGCAGGGTTATGGGTTTAGCATCCTTGTGCCCGCAGGGGGTGGCACACCAGGATAGGTGCTCACATGTGTCCTGTTTGTATGTCAGCCTCGGGGGACTGTCAGGCATGTGGTGGTCATCCAATCTGCCTGCCACCCAAGGATCTTGCCCACACAGCTGATGCAGGCTGGCCGGGTGCCCTCTCACCTATGGGCTGTTCTAAGCCAGGCAGCCAGGGGCCTCTGGTTGGACTTGTGGGTCATTCCCCAGGTGGGCTCAGTGTGAGAAACAGGATCCAAGAGCACAGCGCCCCGCCCAGCCTCTTCCTACCCCCAGAACCCCTGCATTTCAGGTGAGGCAGGAGGAAGAACGCATCCACGGCACGACTTGAGTTCAGGCCCGGGCTCTGTTTGTCCCACAGGCCGCACGAAGGGCTCCGTGCCGGCCGCTGCAGTTACTGTGTGAGTGCCATGCCAGCTCCTGGCTGTGCCATCCCTCACTCAGGGTGATTCACAGCTGGTGGCGCGGACAATGCCTCAGGGTCATTCCGGCGAGATCGGGCGTGTTCAGGGTGGTATGGCCATAGACTCAAGGCCGTTCTGGGAGGCCGGCCACACTCTGCCCACAGGTCCTCACGGGCAGTCTCTGCGAGCCCACGGTGGCTGTTCTGGTGTGTTTACCATGGCCCCGCGGCCCTGTCACTCTCCTCCCAGGACATGCCCTGCCCTGCACTCTTCTCCTATGGCCTCCCCAGGGGCCTCCCACTGTCACTCTGGCCAGAGTCAGCTTTGAGCCATCCCCTGGACTCATTCTGCTTTGTTCCCCTCGGGAGAGCTGCCTGTGAAGCCCCTGGACCACCAGGCTGTGGAGGGGCCTCCGTTCCCCCAGGCCCTGGACGCCCCTGTCCCAACAGAACCTTCAGCTAGAGCACCTGCAGTCGGCAGCTCTGCTTCTCGTGCCCACGGGGAAGGCTGCCCAGGTCCCTGGTAGGGGAGCTGGAGGCATCCCGCCCCCATGGTACATCTTGCCAGGTTGATGTTTGCAGTTGTTGAGTTTGGTATTTCGAATATGCCTTTAGTTAAACTTTTTCTTTTCAAAATATTTCACTCTCCCGGAAACCTAATTAGGCCATTCATTCCTCTGGATGTACTTGCTGCTGTCTGCATTTTGTGAGATAATGAGGCTGCGGAGGTACTGCCAAACCTGTCCTCCCGGGAGCCTTTTGCTCTGTGCCCTGGAGGGAGAGGCACGCCTGTGGCCTTTCCTGGCCTGCGGGACCTGGGCCTCAGAGCCGGGGGAAGAGGCCCTGAGTATATAGATGGGGAAACTGAGGCCTGGGCCCCTGAAGTGTCTGGGTGGCGTAAACGAATGGGTCTCAGCACTGGCAAGAC